CCGCCTGCCTCTGCCTCCCAAGTGCTGAGATTAAAGGCGTGCGCCACCAACGCCTGGCTGCATTTTTTAATTTATGTGCAATAATTTTCTTTCCTTTTCTTAAAACAGTATCTTCTATTATTCATTCAATATTCTGGGGGAGGCCATTTAGCTTCCATTATATTAATTCTGTCCCCCTGGTGGGGTAGCCTATGATTTAGAGGGCTGTTAGATGGTGCCCTCATTGTGTGTTATGGGACCAGATTTAAAGAGCCCTGCGCTGTTGACAGTTCAGGGGTGAAAGAAAGTGAGTTAGAATTCTGGGAAGTGGCTGCAGCAATACCCAGGGGAAGACTAAATCGGCCAGAACAGAATGGCAAAAAGAGTCAGTGAGGAAGCTGATTGATGGAGGAGGGAAAATATTTGTGAGCAGAAGCCCTCAGTGTGCCCTCCACCCCTACCCCTCGCTTTCCTTTTCCAGTCTTATCCTTGCACACTCTGGAAGAATGCAGAGCCCCAGGGTTTCTGGGGAAAGCAGGAAGGCTGCAAGTATTTGTGCCCTGTCCGTGGTCCTGAAGCATCATCTGCCTGTGTTTGGAGACTGGAACACTAATTAGTGGTTACTCTCTCAGGACTCTCAAAAGGTGAGGATAGTCATTTTCTTTTCTTTTTTCTGTCTAACCACCATGGCTGCCCTAGAACTCACTCTATAGACCAGGCTGGCCTCGAACCCACAGAGACCCACCTGCCTCTGCCTCCCAAGTGCTGGGATTAATGGCGTGCGCCACCAAGGCCCTGCTTCTTTTTCATTCTTGAAAAATATATCAGTATGTTTGCATCATGCAGTCCTGCTCCTCCTAGAGTGCTCCCTGCACCCACTTTTCACTGGTTCTTGGCCCACATACCAAGTCCACACCAGCCAAACTGGGACTCATACTCAGCGAGCATCCACTCCATTTTCGGGTTCTCTATATTCATGGCCCATGCCCATCAGGGCACCAGATGTTAGATGAGAGAGGTAAGGCAAGCAGAACCTTACCTGGGGGGGTCTCCCAACCTAAACTGTTCTGTTTTTGCAGTTGTATTATTTCCACGTGACTGAAAACCTAGAGAAAACACCTCTCGCTCTTTTCCATAATACTTGTGAGGTCAGCGTGTTGAAAGGGACTTTTCCAGAAACTCTGAGCTGAGAGCCTGAGATTTCGGCGAGAATTGGGAATATGACACTCTGTTTAGCTCTGGCACCAGAGGATTGGGAAAGCGAGCTTTCTGAGGGCTTCATAGAAGGTCCAGAAGGTTCAGAGAAGGTCCCAGGAAATAGGCGAAGGACAGGCAGCCAGGCTTAAGTCTGTTCCCACATACAGAGAAAGGGAAGCGCCTCAGTTTCCTCTGCCCCCACCCTCTCAATCCAGAAAAAAAAACAAAACAAAAAAAACTTTTTGTTACTGATCAGACGCTGCAGAATGAGGTCATGGCTGGCCTGGTGAGAGGGTAGCACAGAAGGGCACCCAGATGCAGGGGAGAACTATGGGCTCAGGGGGCTGTCAGCAATGGGATGTCATCTCCAACCACCTCTGCCGCCCTTGCCTCCCCACCACCTCACGGCGCTCTCCCTCACCGGTTCTCAGCCACCAGGATCTGCTCCAGCAGGCGTGCGGCCTGCACGCGGGTCTCTAGTTCCGGTGCCTGCAGCAACCGCAACAGCAAGTCGAGGCCACCGTCCAGGCGTATCGCATCGCACAGACCCTGGGCCACCTCGCGGCCCACGGCCGGCAGCAGCCAGGCCTCCTCTACCAGCTGGAAGACCTCGGAGAGGCCCGCGCCCACCGCCCGCGCCGCGCTTGCCTGCTTCAGCTCGGACAGCGCCTGCTGCAGCTCAGGCAGAGAACGCTCCAGGGCGCCTTGCACCTCGGTGCCCACCCCAGGCGACACTTCGCGGGACCCGCGGCCCGCAGCCCACCATGGGCTGGCACTGCCATTCCTATCCGGCCCCGGCACTGTCAGCCGATCGGCGCCCGACGGTGGGCTCGACATGGTGAAGAAGCGGCACAGTTTGTAGGCGGAGAAGAGCAGCGTCAGGACCATGGGCGCTGGGCAGCTGGGGGCATACCGCGCCTGGAGGGGCGGGGCCTGGCGGGGCGACCCCGGCCTTGGGAGGAAAAAGCAAAAAACCAGGACCTGGCAAGGGCGCTGGGCCACAAGTTTAGAAGCAAAGGGAGGAGGGCAGCTCGGGGATACAACGGCTCGGGAAGGAGATACGGGGAGAGGGAAGCAAAGGATGGACGCGACACGGGAGGGTAGAGACGCCGGTGCCCGGAACAAAGCGCAGCTCCAGCCCCTTAGACCGGGGAGCTGAGATGCTCAGCAGCAACCACGCCTCTGAGTAGCGGAGTCAAGGATTTGACGCCCCGCCTCTAGGTCTCTCAGGCTCCGCCCTTGCCGCTGGCGCAAGCTCCACCCCAGGCCTCACTGGGCCCCGCCTCCTTTCTCTAAGCCAGCTCCCCTTTGGGGTGTGCCAGATAAGGTGAAGGGCTGGAAAGAGAGGTCCTCGATCCCCACTGCTCACCCTGTCCCGGGTGATGTGGAAGCAAACTGAAGGAATGGATCCACATCCCCTTCGGATGGTTAAAGAACCGCAGTGAGCTTCTTAAGGCCCTTTAATGCCTGCTTCCACTTAGGCTTCACATGTCTGTAGGGAGTAAGATTTAGTGCTTCATAGAGAAGAGACAGATTATAGAACAGAAAACTTAGGGGCTTCAGAAGCATACTGGTGCCTGAAACATGACACGAAACCTGGCATTCTGTGCCAGTGAGCATCTTCTTCATAGCGGGATCACACTTCATAATATAAGTCTAAAAATATGCCCAATGAGTTTATTCTTTTTAGAAGGGGTCACTGAAGGTGGATTCAGTGGATTAGTGGAGGCCTCAGCAGTGGGCTCTGGGAGTGGGGAGATGGCTTAGTTTTTAAGAACACTCTTTTTTGCAGAGGTCCGGGATTTGATTCCCAGCACTCATATGGCAGCTCACAACTGTTCAAACTCCAGTTCCAGGGTGTCCAAAGTCCTCTTGTGACCTCCACAGACACCAGGCATGCACATGGTGCATGGACACTCATATACACAAAATAAAATACATAAATCTAAAATTCAAGAAAGGAATGGACTGTGGGCCAAAGCGTTAGGAGCCACTGCTTCCTATGCTGTGGAGCCCAGCTTAGAGGGAACCATGCTTCCACAAGGAGAGGCTAGAAATGAAGCTTTATTCTTTTATGATAAGAAAAGAAACCTCCCCCAGAGTGCCTGGCAGCTCTCCCTTCACCCCTCCTTCCACTCCACTGCCCCAAATATCCAACTAGGAAGTGGGGGTAGGATGGGACAAACACCTAGTCGGGGATGGGCCTGATCAAACAACGAATCGATAACTGCTTATGGGAATGAGTTGGAAGCTACTTCAGGCACCAAGCATTTTGTCTGTTCTGGCTCATGTAATTTCTCAACACCTGATGAGGTCAGGCACCATGGTCCCATTTTATAAAAGGAAAGTCTCAGAGAGATTAACATAACTGGCTCACAGGGTGATAACACATGCTTTCTTTCTGCCTTCTCAACCCACCATGCTCTCCCAGCTGCCCATGACCCTTCTGACTCTGGACTTGGCAAGGTTTCTACTTCTCAGCTCTCCTAGGGCTGGAGTTCTGGGAATGTGACCCTTAGCTGCAGCTGTGTTTGGAGGAGGGCAATAGGGCTGGGCCAGAGGATGAGCAAATAGAGGCAGAAACCTAGTAAAATAGCAACTCTTCTTCAGTTTGATTCTTTTCCCAGGCTGGACGGTGAGACTCTGGAAGCTCCGAGCCCAGCTTGCCAGACCCTCAGCTAGAGGCCTGCCATGGCGCCTCTGAGGCCCTTTCTGATGCTAACCCTGCTGGCATGGGTTTCTCTGGCTGACCAAGGTGTGGGGGTGATTGGTGGAGATCTAGGGCGATGCAGGGTGGGCAGGTGGTCTGGCCTGGGCTGTAAAGACTAATATTCCCTCTCGTAGAGTCATGCAAGGGCCGCTGCAACCAGGGGTTTGTGGCCAACAAGAAGTGTCAGTGTGATGAGCTTTGCAGTTACTATCAGAGCTGCTGTGCTGACTATGTGGCACAGTGCAAGCCCCAAGGTTTGTTCAGAGCCCTGGTGGGTGGGCATGGGATCGCCTGTGTGACCGGAAACTCACTACTGCCCGCTCTGCCTGCAGTGACTCGGGGGGATGTGTTTACTATGCCAGAAGATGAGTATTGGTCCTATGACTACACGGAAGAGACCAAGAATGGCACCAGCACCCATGTACAACCGGAAAACACGTCTTTACACCCTGACTTACAGCCTCAAACCTCAGAGCCAACATCATTCCTAAAGCCTGAGGAACAGGCTCCTACACTGGAGGCAAGCACCTCAGGGCCTGAAGTGGGCTACCTGGAGGTGACTTCAAGGCCTGACACCACTGCTCAAGGGACCTCTGACTTCCCAGAGGAAGAGCTGTGTAGTGGGAAGCCCTTTGATGCCTTCACGGACCTCAAGAACGGTTCCCTCTTTGCCTTCCGAGGTGCCTCTATGGACAGGTCTGGTGTGGGGGGAGGAGAGTCTGCCCTGGCGCATCTGTTTCTCACACAGCTTCCCCTTCTCTAGGGCAGTACTGCTATGAGTTAGATGAAACAGCAGTGAGGCCTGGGTACCCCAAACTTATCCGAGATGTCTGGGGCATCGAAGGTCCCATTGATGCTGCCTTCACTCGAATCAACTGTCAGGGGAAGACCTACCTTTTCAAGGTACCAGACCCAAGTCCATGAGTCAAGGTAAAGGGTATCATGGAAGGTGCTGGGAGATGTGAGGAGGAGGTAGTAGGGGGTTCCAGAAGCTGCTGAGAGCCAGTTTAGGATGTAGGACTGCCTCTTTGCCCAGCAGTATGTCCTCACCCTTTTCATCTTCCCTGCCCCTCAGGGCAGTCTGTACTGGCGCTTTGAGGATGGCGTTTTGGACCCTGGTTATCCCCGAAACATCTCTGAAGGCTTCAGTGGCATACCAGACAATGTCGATGCTGCTTTAGCCCTTCCTGCTCACCGCTACAGTGGCCGGGAGAGAGTCTACTTCTTCAAGGGTACTCTGGGTGGGAGGTGAAGGGGCAGGTGGTGGAGGAGTCCCTGCTCTCTCCTTTGCTTCCCTGGGTGGGGACTTGGGGTATGCTACCACCCTGCCTCGGAGCACCCCAGCCTTAGTCAGATCTGCCCTTCTGATGCCAGCTATCCTGCTCCCCAGGGAAGCAGTACTGGGAGTATGAATTCCAGCAGCAGCCCAGCCAGGAGGACTGTGAAGGCAGCTCTCTGTCAGCGGTGTTTGAGCACTTTGCCTTGCTGCAGCGGGACAGCTGGGAGGACATCTTTGAACTCCTCTTCTGGGGCAGATCCACTGGTACAGAGGGAGTAGGACCAGACTGTGACAGTGGGGGCTTCAGGGGGAGGAGGGACTGGAATGGTGGCACTATCGATCAAGAGCTGTTTGCTCTGGCTAGACTTTGCTTCTGTTGACTTTTGGGGGTGAGGCTTGGCTCCACTTGGACCCCATACCTTGGACTTTGCCTGACACAGCACAAGGAGGGGCAGTGGATGAGGGATTTAGGAGGGGGCAGAGACACAAGGGATACAGTGGGTTGAGGACACAGGAAAAGGCACTGGACAGGGAGTCTGAGGCCTGGGTGCTGGGTACTGAGTTCTATCATGAAGCTTGTTGTGTGTCTTGGGCAAGATGAACTCTAAAGGCCTGCTGGGGCCAGCTGTGGTGGCACACACCTTTAATCCCAGCACTCTGAGGCAGATCTCTGTGAATTAAGAGGCCAACCTGGTCTTCATAGTGAGTTCCAGACCAGCCATGGGTACATAGAGAGACCTTGTTTAAAAAAAACATAAATAATAAATAAATGTCCTGCTGGAGAAATTAAAGCCTGGATCCTCAAAGTAATTAACCCCTTCCCTGCTACAGGCGGCGTCAGAGAACCCCAGTTCATCAGCCGGGACTGGCATGGTGTGCCAGGGAAAGTGGACGCTGCTATGGCTGGCCGCATCTACATCTCGGGCTCCACATCCCACTCTTTCCAGGCCAAAAAGCAGAAGTCTAGGCGACGCAGCCGAAAACGCTACCGCTCACGCCGTGGGCGTGGCCGCAGCCGCAGCCCCAGCAGCAGCCACAGCCTGAATTCTCGTCGCTCATCGCGTTCAGTCTGGTTCTCTTTGTTTTCTAGTGAGGAGAGAGGGCTAGGAGACTACAACTATGATTATGATATGGACTGGCTCCCCCCTGCCACTTGCGAGCCCATTCAGAGCGTCTATTTCTTCTCTGGAGGTGGGAGCCCCTGCTATCCCTGAAGCTGGTTTTCCTTGGGTCTCTCCTGCAGTCTCTGGTCCCTGGGTGCTGAACACAGCCTGTAGATGGTGACCTTACCTGTATAGTGGATGTTCACTGTCACTTCTGAGAGAAATCCTTGTTTTCCTTCTTGGGACCAGCGACAGGACCAGGCAGGATCTTACACACCTTTCTGTTCTCTCTTTCAGACAAGTACTACCGAGTCAACCTTAAAACACGGCGAGTGGACTCTGTGAACCCTCCCTACCCACGCTCCATTGCTCAGTATTGGCTGGGCTGCCCAGCCCCTGAAAAGTAGGAGTCAGCCCACACAGCCGAACCTCAGGAAACCCATCCTCCAGCCCTTTTCTTCCAGCCCAATAAAGTCTGTTGGCCCTGAGTTTAAGACTACTGTCTTGATTAGGGTGGGCAGCCCAGTCCGCTGGACAAATGAGGACAAGTGGGGCTCTCGGGACTGATTGAAGAGGGACAGAGAAGACCCCACTGGGCTTGGGAGCTCTTTTTAAACCAGAAACACTTGGTGCTTGTGAGAGCTACATTTCCAAGTCCACCCCCAACCTCTGGTCCCCCATCCTGCCCCAGGGTAGAACATGGAACTCCAGTCCCTGTGGTGATGACAGCAGTTATCCAGTCACCCTCTCCAAGTGAAGCTTCCTTGACCATGGAGATAACCAGGGCCTCAGAGAAGATGAGGAGCGAGAGGGTGGAATTCAACTCAGCTTTGCTGTCCACAGTGAATGGAGAATATAGTTAATTCCCAAGCAACAGAAGGACAGACTCCCACAACACACACCTAAGGGGGCTTTTCTCTAAGTCCTCTGTCTGGGAAGAACATTGACATGCATCCCCATTCTCATACTAAAGAAGCTCACAGGACCCTCCCAGGATGAAATGCTGTAAAAGTAAAAGTCGTTGTGAACCCCTGGCTCCAGGATCCTGGGTTTCAGGAAGCCTGTCTGACAGTTTGGCTTTTCTTTTTGTGTTTAAAAATTATTTTTGGTTTTTTCGAGACAGGATTTCTCTGTGTAGCCTTAGATGTCCTGGAACTAGCTCTGTAGACCAGGCTGGCCTGGAACTTTAGAGATTTGCCTGCCTCTGCCTTCCAAGTGCTGGGATTAAAGGCATGAGCCACCACCCCCCAGCTTTTTGAGGAGCCAGAAAGAGTTCTATAGTGGCCCTGAGGGCAAGCTGGTGGTGACACTACTCCTCAGCCCTGCTGACAGTAGGTGGCTCCAACAGTATCCTCATCCCATCCAGTTTCACTGCCTAGTCCTCAGAGTGTGGGACAGGAATCCACTTACTTTCTCCTGAAGGCAGCTAAGACCAGGCACTGAGGGATTTTAGGGGGCAGGTGAAGCTCTGGGAGTTTGGGGGAGGCAGATTTCTGTGGTTTGGGGGAAGGTTTCACATAGTACAGGACTGAAAGCAGACCGCCGAAGGAAGGCTGAGGTTTGAGGAGGGAGGTGTGACCAACTTCTTGGTAAAAGCTGGGCTGCATATCAATCTGGTCCAACCTAGACCTCTACCAGCCCCACTCCTGCCTTGCTTCCCCCTTCTCAACCTCCCTTGAGTAAATGCTAAGCCTCTTCCCTCTGGAGGCGGAGCCAGCCACTCTGAACGGCTTAAAACCCTAAGGCCTGTGGCTGATGTGGGCAATAGCCCTGGCCCTCTGGCTTCTCTCCCTGTGCCAGCTCCATGGCCAGTCCTGTGGAGGCATCTCCAGGTGATCTGGTGGGGAAAGGGCGGGTAGGGTGAGGAAGAGTAGAGAGATGAGATGGTGAAGGGTGAGGAGTATAGGCTGAAGAGGGTGATTAAGGCTTTGAAACTGGATTGAGGCTCTTGCAAGGGAGTCCTGGTTTTATTCCCATCCTGGCCCACAGGCTGTGCCAGTGGGTTGGGTCCCCATCGGAGAAAGAGGACCACCTTCAGTGTTGGGCAGTTGCTGGAGCTGGAACGGGTATTTGCAGCTAGACCCTATCCTGACATCAGTACCCGTGAGCACCTGGCCCAGGTAACTCATCTGCCTGAAGCCAAGATCCAGGTGAGCTGCAATAGCTAACTTCTGGGCTCGACACAGCACTTCTCTCTGGGAATCCTGCCTTCACATTCTGATTTCTGTCCTAGGAGTGTGCTGGTGCCAAGATGTATCTCTTCATCTTCCCTATCAGGTGTGGTTCCAGAACCGCCGAGCCAAGAGAATCAAGAACAGAAAGCCAGGAGCCCTAAACCCTAGGCTGGAACTTCCTCCTCCTAACTCCTGCTTTCTTCCAGACACCCCTCAGCAACCCTCTAGAACACCAGGCCAGCCTCTACAGCCCACTGGCTCAGCTCAGCATGCTTCAGCTTGCCCACAGACCTCCTGTGTAACTTCCAGCTTGGGTCCAGGACAGAGCTGGGCAGGGGCTAAAGCTGCAGTCCCATGCTGGCCAAATGGGGCTTCAGGGGGTTACCCTTCTTTAGAGCAAACTGCTCCTCAGACTTCATTGGGCAGTCTGTCTGACCTTATCTATACCTCAGCCATTGTCATCAATGTAGATCACTCATAATTTCTTAAGACATGGTTTCTTTGTGTAGTTTTGGAGCCTGTCCTGGAACTAGCTCTTGAACTCAAGAGATCTGCCTGCCTCTGCCTCCCAAGTGCTGGGATTAAAGGTGTGCACCACAATCGCTCAGCTAGATCACTCCTAATTTAGGTGTAGAGCTTGTTAAGAGTTTGTCTCTGGTTCTTGTAATCCACTCCATCTCTCCTGGGGTGGAACATATAAGGGTACCACCGCTTCTTCTTACATTGGGAGTGTTCTCTAAGAGTTTAGTTCAGAGACCCATCCCTGCACTCCCAACGTCCAGCAACCTAACTGAAGGTCCAGCCGCTGGAGCCTAGTTCCTATTACCTGGCACCCTAATCATTTTTAGGGCATATCGCCATTGTCTCATCAGAAGGTACTGTCAAGGTAAGGGACCATGGTGTCCACCTCTACTTCTAGGCTTGGGTCCCCAACTCCTATTACCTTAGTTGATGATCTCTTTCCTCTGAAGGGGCTGCCAGGACCTTGCCTATGTGCCAGGGGAAGGGCACTGCTCCTATACTGGACTGCTGGAAGACCCACCCTTTCATGGTTCAGGGCCCCATTGCCTGACTTCCTGCCACCTGGACAAATTAATCACAACTGTGGATTTGAATAGGGAGTGATATTAAAATTACAGAAATAGAAGCTTGGGTCTTAGGTTGATTGAATTTCCCCAAAGATCAGATTGATTGTCCTCTGATGTTGGCTGTGGGGACAACCTGACAGATCTGGGGGGAGGGGGTATAGTAGCACTGGGTTTTTGTATCACTGCCATCTGTAATCCCGACTAATCTCCAAATAAAACAAAACTCTTTAATCTGGATTGTTGTATTGCAAATGGAGATGAGGTTTGCCTGCTTGGGAAGTTTATCTTCCACTACCAAATCCCTAAATAGGGCCAGGTGCCACAGACTCTGGGTAGGAATCACGTCCAGGATTCTGCTGGGATTAGAGAGTGGTTAATTAAAGGCTCAGCTTTCTCACAGGCTCTGGGGACACAGTAGCTAGCTTGCACTCCAGGATGTTCTAGTTACCTCCACCTCTAAGCTGTTCTGGAGAGAAAAGCATGGAGTCTGCGATCAGTCTGTGTTGGCTTCAAACACAGACTGCTGTGTGACCACCAAAGCAGGGGTGGAAACAATTCCTGTCTTGGGAAAAATGAAGGTAAAGAACTTCATGTAATGACACATGATAAAAACTCAGTAAATGCTAGTTCCCTCTACTCCATATAGGAAATCATGAGAAACTGGTAAGGACCAAACTTCCTGTCCCTCTGGCAAGCACCCCCTGGACCCCGAGTGCTTTGGATAACATGTGGCAGAGAGAGGAAGTGGCTGAGAGTTCCCTTTCCTGTGCTGTGAACTGGCCACCTAATCCCCTACACACTCTCTGCTTTTGTGATGGCAAGGTCCTTGAAGCTTGCCTCTTTGCTTAATTACACACAAGGCATGTGCTAGATGTGACTTTATTATCTCCAGATGTTAGCATGGTGCCTGGCCCAGAGAACTACTATTCATAAGAGCTTGATGCCACTGAAGCTTATTGGCCTGTGTGGAGGAACTGGGATCTAGTGGAGAGTTCCTCCCAACAAAGGACCCCAAGTTTACTGTGAGATATCCTAGACTGGTTGAAGTCTGTTGGAAGAGATTCTGCTTAAGTCAAACCTCTAACATTCGGAAGGCTTTCAGCTTAAATTCAGGCACTTAAGGATATCTAGGCAGCCTGGAATAGAGAACACAGGAAAGTGAACCATGAATTGCATCCTGTCGTCACCATCGCATCCCCCATCCCCGTACCCTATGACCCAACCTTTAACAGTCCTGATTATCAGAAACACTGTAAAATGCTACTTATATTTTCCTGAACTTGATACTTCTCCCTACTAACAGGAACTGGTAAACACAATTGACAAAATGTCTACCAATCTACTAAGAATATACGAGACAAGCTAGGGAAAGACAGATGGCTCAGTAGATAAAAGCATCTGCTGTCCAAGCCTGATGAGCAGAATCCAGAGTTGGATGATGCTGTTTACCTATAATCCTGGCACTTGTAGAAAGGATAGGAAAAGGCAGCCTAAGAGTATGCAGTGTAATAACAGAAACAAGAGACCCACATGAAAACTCCTGCAGACGTGGACCCGCACTCACACACATTCACACATGAAGTAAAATACATTTTAAAAAACTTGAGAAAAAACACACTATCATAACACACCTAGGAAACAGAAAGCCTACAATTAAGAACAAAGAGGCTTGAGCAATCTGAAGTGGTGGCTCAGTGGTTTACAGCTCTTGCAAAGAATGGAGGTTCAGTTCCTAGTACCCACACTAGCTCCTCTTCTCATCGCCTCAGGCTTCAGCATGCATCTGTAGCCCGCATACACATGAAAGGAAGGAGGAAATCTGGCAAGCAAAGTAGACCTCAGAGACCTGTCATGATGGCATATGCCTGACTCCTAGGATTCAGGAGGCAGAGGTCACAAACAGAAGAAAGGGCAGATATTGAGGAATTCTCAGAATTACCTAAGTTTTTGTGCTTTGTGCTCTTATAGGACCTGAAATAAAAATACACTGAACACAAGAAACATTTATTGGATAAATAACATTTTTCAAGTGCCTTAAATAGATTCTCTAACTTAACTAAGTTCGGAAAAGTGTAACATACCACAGAGACAACAGGACAATATAGACATCTTTGGCTCTATTTAACAGAAGGACACAGCTGATCATCTGGTTTCTTTCAGCCTGTTTTGACTTCTGGAAAAAGGGCCTGATACCATTTCCTTTTCTAGAAAAAAGTTAGCTGCCTGGATTCTAGTTCCACCATCCTGTATCAATCAGTTTTTCTCTTATCTGAAGCTTGGTTCTTCTTATTTCTGAATGGTTCTTCTCAGGTTCATGTCTTCTGCTTCCTTAGGATCTCCTGCTCTCAGGTACAGGTCTTGTGCCAAGATACATGGATGAAGGATGGTGACTGATGTATGCACTTGGGCCAGTTGAAGGCAATACGGCCCAATTTGGGGGGAAGGTCTGGATTCTACTTACTTCTGATGGGAAAACCCCAGACTCAGCAGACCCCAGAATGGACCCCAGAAGGCAAATGTGCGATGGATTCAGAAGTAGCTACTGAGTTCTTTCAGTTTTAAAAAAGCACTGCTGTCTCAATTTCCTCTGTTCCTCTCCAAGGAGATTGATAGCAGACACAGCTCTCCAAAGAAGAACTTGACCTGGTCCTCTGACTAACTGGAGCTGAGTACCAAGCTTCATGGGTTGACTGAAAGTCAGTGATGGGCAATGGAGAGTCTGGGGCTCCCCAAGCTTCTTCCAGACTTTGACGGTGAAGCACTAGTTACAGCTCACCCAATTCACCTTCCATTGCTCTCACCATGATGTACAACTCTGCCAAACCTACCACCGAGGCGACGATCAATGCAGCCAGCACTCTCTGTCAATGGGAAGAACCAAGTGTAGGGGATGCAGGCCAACACCCAAACCTGCAGCCCTTAGTAACTCTAATAAGGATGGAGATTCCCTACTCAGTCCATAAGTCAGCAGTTCTCAACCTGTCAGTTAAGACCCCCCTTTGGGGGTTGACTGACCCTTTTACAGGGGTTGCATATCAGATATCCTGCATATCAAATATTTACATTATGACTCATAACAGAAGCAACGGTATAGTTATGAAGTAGCAATAAAAATGATTTTGTGGTTGGGAGTCACCACAACATGAGGAACTGTATTAACAGGTCTAGGCATTGGGAAGGTTGAGAGCCACTTCCTTTAAGTTGCTGGGAAAAGGTAGCTCTTGGGATTACTACTCACCCCATGACTCCTGGAAAGCTAAATGTGTCCCCCCATTTATTGCATAAATATATGCAACTGATAACCTGTGCAGTTGCACACACATCCCCCCTTTTCCACTAATCCCAACAAGGGACACTTTGTCCTTCTCAGTGCCCACTCACCGAGGCCATTTCTGTGAAGATATACTGGCTTCCCAGGTAAGTGCAGACAAAGGCAGCTGCCACTGTGACAATGAAGTTGAAGATGGTAATGACCAGAGCTTTCACTGATCTCACTTTGGAAAGCAGTTCAGAGAAGAAACATTTAGGTTAGCATTCTCAGGGAGACCCTATTACCTCATAGCGGCCTCCACCATCTACTGGGTTCTCCTCAGAGACCAAGACTGAATATCTTAGCCTTGACCCAAGAATAGTGCAGTAGAGGCTTGAGCAGCCTGGGTTCCTAGTACCTCACCTTGTTTTCCCAGGTCACTGAGAGTCCCCCCACGCTGCGCATCCTGGGAAAACAAAAGAAACAAAACCCAAATGGTTTCAGAATGAAAACAGTCCAGAAATCCCCCATTTGCCAGACTGGCCTCAGCCCTTTCTACTCAACAGATTAATTCCACCCTCTCCAGAGATTCTTTTGCCTCGACTTGTATGATGCCTTCTAGATCATAAAGAGAAGGATCCAGGCTCCCAGGACCCATCTACTTCCCTACTTTATAGCAGAAACATGCCAAAGGAGTCATGTCAGGAAAAAAGGCTACAGGTATACCTGTAATCCCAACATCTGGGCCACAGAGATCCTTCCCTGAATAAAGAAATGCTCCAAGGCTCACCTCCACTTCTATATTTAAGAATCGGTTACCATCAGGCAGGGTGTTGGTGGCAGACACCTTTAATCCCAGGGCTTGGGAGGCAGTATCAGGTGGATCTATGTGAGTTTGAGGCCAGCCTGGGCTACAGAGTGAGTTCCAGGACAGCTAAGGCTACACAGAGATACCCTGTCTTGAAAACAAACAAACAAAAAAAAACCCCAAACCAAACCAAAATCAGTTATCATATAAGCCCAGAGTCTCAGTAAACACACTGAAGATTACATTTTATCTGGGTAGAACACAGAGATCGTTTTGTTGTTGTTGCTTGTTTTGTTTTTGAGACAGGGTTTCTCTGTGCAACAGCCCTGGCTGGGATTAAAGACATGCACCACTGTGCCACCTGGCAAAACACAGAGGTCTTACGGTTCTAGAACAGTATATAAATTGAGTTTGATTTATTTTTCTTTTCTTTTTTGACACAGGGTCTCCACAATATAGTTCTGGCTGGCTTCAAACTCAGGAGTACTGGAATTAAAGGTGTGTGTCACTATACTCTGCTACTGTAATTTTTAAAATTAAAACTCTGATGCGAGTCATATACCAAGGAGTAGGCCCTTACCTGACAAGTGACATTTCGAGTGATCCGCTTGTATTCCTCATTGGCTAGCTGTATCTTAATCTTCTCTAGACGGGCAACTAGCTCTGGATTCTAAAGTGAAAACAACCACATGAGAAGAATGACATTCTTCTATACATGTCTTGCTACAAAATGGGTCCTGAGGACTGAAGCCAGGCTGTCATACCTGATAGCAAGTTTCCCAACTCTTGAAGCTATCTCACTGGCCCCAAAATTTTATTTATTCATTTTTTTGGTGCTAGGAATTGAACTTATCAAGTACTCTTCCATTGAGACACATCTCAGCTATTCCAAATAATTAAAATATAAGATTTCAAACCTGAAAGTTGATGAATAAAATCCACACCCAACTCAGCATGTACCTACTACCACAAATATATCCCTTACATACCCGAGGAGGCTTCACAACCTCTGGAAGGTAGATTTCACTGCCTTTGAGGAGTTCATGAAGATATAGCCTGGAGTCTGGGAAGAAAAAGGTTCCACATAATGACCATGAAGCAGAGGCTAGAAGACTAAGTTCATAGAAGGGGGTAGCCCTAATTTTTACCCAAATAAAACATGGCCATCCCTGCTAACCCATCCCAAGAATACACACAAACACACACACACACACACACACACACACACACACACACACACACACACACCCACACACCCTTGTATAAAACCAGGCTAACCTGTCTCTTGAATGCACCACCTCACTCAGCCACCTTTTTTTTTTTTCCTTTTTGGACAGGGTCTAATGTACCTCATCTAGACCTAAACTCATAATCCTCCAGCCTCAGCCTCAATCCCTCAAGTGCTAGGATTTCAAGTGTGTGCCATGACCAGCCTTGTCATCATTTTCTATCTCTTTTTATTCATTCATTTTTCTTTTTACTCAAGATTATTTTTCAACCAAGAAATATTTAGGACAATTCCACCTAAGTATTTCCTAGTACTACACAGTTGACTTTAACTGTCAGTCTTCAATTATCCTGCCAATGGGAGGTTATTTCTGTGAAAATAATAGATCTGTCCTAGATAGAATTGGGTCGTTGTGATGCTAAACACTCAGAGGGCATTGTATTGGAGGATCTTTTTCTAAGGTTCTCTTAAAGTCCTAATAGTTGAAGGTCTACTCTTTGCACTTCTGGCTGGAATATTAATTCTGGCAATACATGTTACATGCCAGTTTACCCTACTCCCTCCCTTAACAGATAAGGAAATAGGTTCAAAGAAAGAGGAGAAATTCTTTGAAAGGACTAGAACTAGATGAGACTCTCAGTTCAGAACTTTCAATACAGTTGCTTTTATTTCTTTCCTTTTTGTTATTATATTTCCCTACCCTCACCCCAACAGGGTCTGGGGCGGGGATCAGAAATCTCCACCCTTGCCTTTGAGATGTAAGGAAAGTAACTATTCCAAAACAGAAGCTCACTACGTTAAATGACCTCAAAATGGAGAAGCTCAACATGGTAGAAAATATTGCGCTAGAATCCCGAATTCCTTAAAAGTCAGGTGGACTTAGGTAGACCTAAAAGTGGACACTCAACAAAATCTGCACAAATACGTTTTGTCACACATGAAGAATGCCCACGGAACTTAAGATGGAAGTGGTGAACCCGGGGCTTATGAGGAGGGTTCTGGACTGGCTAAATGAGAACTTGGCAGGCACGCGAGAGTGACAGGCGAAAAAAAAGGCCTCAGAAGGGATTAGCGGTGAAAATGAGGCTGCGACTCTTGACTGGGGAACGCTCACTTCTTTCTCTCAGGTGCTGATGCAGTTCTCGGATCAGACGGAAGGGAATCAGGCGAAGGGGGCCCGTGGCGTTATCTCTGCTCGTGTGTTTCTTCCCCAGAGCAGCCTCGAGATGGGCACGCAGCTTCCGGGGCAGCTGCTCCCGTTCCAGTTCTCCGCCAGGGCCCAAAGCGCGAACCAGTCGCTCACCACCAAGCAAGGAAGACGCCATTTCTAACGCACGCTCCGGTCAGGTGATCCCAGAGTGGGACTTCCGCTCACCTGCGCCGGATGTAGCTGGAGGAGCCCGCGCGGACGCGGTGG